CTACATGGGTATTAAAAATGAAAACACCAAAAAAAAAAAAGGAAATCATGGCATCATAGTTTGGGTTTGCAAATTTATCAAAAAAGAAATTAAACTATCCATAAATTATAAGACTTTTAAAGAAAGACTCTTGTAAAAAGCTAGTGACTGAGAAGGTGTAAAAGTGAGTATTTTCTTTTTTTTGTACATTCATAATGAGTAGGTACACTTCCACACATGTTTATCTTTGTACATTGCAAATACTTCAAGGTACAAATGGCTGGAGACTGTTTTTCCAAAGAAAGAGCTATCATGCAGGTCACCATATTAACTAATAGATCAAAATTATATAATAACTGAAAATGCTTTATCTGAACTAGCGAAAAGTTAGACTATTTTGGAAGACTGCAGTTTTATCAATTCCAAATTTTAAATATATATATCTATATATATCACTGCAGTAAAGAAAGGAAACAACAAAAAGTGAACATGAAATACAATTTTTCAGGATGTCTAAAGACCCATAGTAGCAGAGAGGGAAGCTCCCACTGAGAAAATTATCTCTTGAAAGACCGCAGGAACAGTTGAGCTTTGGGATAAAACCAGCAGCTACAAAATCCTAGAAAATCTTCCATGAGATTTAGCCGGATTTTCTTCTATTGTTGCAGGGAGGCAGGGTAAAAACCCACTAACAAGAACAACAACTATATATATACATATATGGGCAGATGTGCTTCGAGGCAATTTAAGAGACAATAGATTGACCAGGACCTATACAAACCAACAGGTTAATTATAAACAAAGGAATGGAATAGAGAAATTACGCAAACACAAATATACTGTCAGAAATAGTAGCTTTGGAGTTTCACAGCACTGGAGGCAGAAAAGAGTCAGAAAAGTGGGAAACGATTTGTGAAAAATTTGACTAGGATTCTGAGCAAAGTTCAGGATAAGAAAGAATAAAGTCATTAATAGAAAATAAATGACAGCAACTGATATTATATCTGAAATAATGGAGTCCAAACCAATCAAGTTTAAAGTAGATATATATGCATTGTGTCTATACCCTGCTGGACTTCACTGAAGGCAAGATACATATATCTATTATCTTTTTATCCTGGTGTTTAAACACAATAGCTTAGTCTTACCAAGAAACCAAAACCAAACCTGTTGCCATCGAGTCGACTCCTACTCAAAGCAACCCTATAGTGACCCAATAGGACAGAGCAGAACTGCCTCCATAGGGTTTCCAAGGAGCAGCTGGTGGATTCAAACTGCCGACCTTTGGTTAGCAGTCATAGATAGCACTTAAACACTGTGCCACCAGGGCTCCAGCTTTTACTTATTAGCTGCATAATATACGATTTTGAGGAGGAAAAGATGAAAAGGAGTACACGCACCCTCACTGGATTCTAGATTAGTCAGTGTAAAAACAGTGTTAAGTGATTTATACTCTCCTTCCAGTGCCTCAAGTGAATACACAAAAATATTCAAAGTTTCCCTTTCAAGAAAGCTTGAAGGCTCCTATGGGAAATAAAACTTGGACTTCATTAGCATCTCATTCTAAGACGTTTAACTGTAGCGACACACTGCCTCCCTGAAATCTGAGGTGACCGAATATCAAGATCATGCTGATGCCTTCCAATATTGTGCCAGAATAAGTGGAACCAGCAAAATTCAGGAAAATAATTTAGTTCTTTATACCTGGAAAGACCAACTCAGCAAACAGATCTTCATCGCAGAAATTTTACATCTTTATGAGAAACCCCGAACTTGTTGCACTGTGGGCCGGGGGGTTGGAGAATGAGTGGGATTAAAAACATAATATACAACTTTCCATGGTATACTAACCAGATGGAACAATTCTAAGGTGAAGTGGGGTTTGCTTTGGGGTTTTTTTGTTTGTTTGTTTGGTTGGTTTTTAATACCAACAGTGCCCCACTGGAAAATGGTAGTATATTAGAAGAATCCCAGGCAAATTTTTAAAACATAAAACAGATGTCTTACTACAACTCTCAAAACGTTGATAGAAAGCCAAAACAAATTAATTATAGGGAGTCAGTTCAGTACAAAACTGTCTGGACTGGGAGAATCAGAGGATCAGATATGGACGCTAAATAGATGTATGTTGTTATTGCTGTTAGGTGCCATTGAGTCGGTTCCAAGGCAAATCATTCATTCCCATTGCCGTGGAGTCGATTCCGGCCCATAAGCAACCGTGTAAGACAGAGTACAGCTGCTTCATAGTTTCCAAGGAGCAGAGTCAAGCTGCCACCCTTTCAGTTAGCAGCCGAGCTCTTAACTACTGAGTCACCAGGACTCCAATCATTCATTACTAAATATTAATTGAGCAATAACCATGTGAAAGACAATTATATAATTTTTAAAAAAAATCAAAATTCATTGATTCTACAAATATTAATTGAAAACTCACTACAGGCCAAGCACAATGCTAATTTAATTAACCATTAACCACAGTCAATTTCGACTCACAGCGACCCTATAGGACAGGGTAGAAGTGCCCCATAGGGTTTCCACAGAGCGCCTGGGCGGATTTGAACTGCCAGTCTTTTGGTTAGCAGCCGTAGCTCTTAACCACTACATCACCGGGATAATGAGAATTCAGTAATAAATAAAACAAAGTCCCTGACATTGTGGTTCTTACATTCTAGTAGGGGGAGACTCTCGGATGATAAACAAGTTAGATGGTAAGAAGTGCTATGATAAAAGAAATAGCGGGTGTGGGGAAAGGGCATATTATAATATTTAAAAATTACAAAAGTCATATATTTGTTGTTTTTATAATAAACTTTCAAACAATTGTTGTTAGTTGCTGTTGAGTCAATTTTGACTCATGGCAACCCCATGTGTGCAGAGTAGAACTGCTCCATAGGGTTTTTAAATCTTATGGAAGCAGATCGCCAGGCCTGTCTTCAGAGATGCCTCTGGGTAGGTTTGAACCGCCAACCTTTCAGCTAGTAATTGAATGCTTAACCACTTGCACCACCCAGGGACTTCTTTCAAACAATACAGAGCAGTATATAGTAAAAAAAAAAAAAAGCCCCTCCCTGTCTTCAACCCTATTTCCAGAGGCAACCACAGTTAACAGTTTGGGAATACATATACATGCAACATATGTAGATAACATATTATTTATATATACTTATATATGTATGCTAGATTCTATATTAACTATCTATGTTAATTCCCCCAATTATACTTCCACTTAAAATACTTACATTTATTTTTCAAAATAAGATTATATATTTTTATCATAAGCAGGATGACTCAAAACAGAAAAATCAGAAAATAACCAAAACACACGTAAACTACACTTATAATACACTCAAACATAGCACCTTTTATTATCCTCATTTTCTCCAGAGAAATCTAGATCCTAAAATGATAAGTACAGTAACATGTTCTAGTTTATACAGCTACTAAATGGTGATTTCTCAATTCAGACTCAGAATTCCTCCATCTCCAAGCCCCATACTTAAAAAAGAAATATGATTATTATGAAAATTGTAGCCTACAGAAAAGCAAAACAAGAAAACTTAAATTACTTTTATTAATACAATTTATTTTTACAAAACTGAAATTATTCTGTGCATGCATATTGTTTTGAAGTCTACCTTTCTTGGTTAACTATATATCATGAACACTTTTCTGACACTAAAAATTATTCTACAATGTGGTTTTTAATGGCCATAATATATTTAATCAATTGATATAACATATTTAACCAATCCCTTTCTGTTTGATTTCCAAGCAATTTCCAACTTTTTGATATTACAAATAAGATCCTATAAATATTTTTATATATAAATCTTTATGTATACCTTTGATTATTTCCTAGGATAAATTCCAGGAAGTAGGATTGCTGGGCCAAAGTATACAAACAACTTAATAATTTTAAAACATACTGCAAAATTTCCCTTTAAATATGTTATGTTATTTTATATTCCCATCAGTGGGTATAAGCACCAACTTCCTTGCACTACTGACAAAAATAGCATATTATTTAATATGTACTTCTTCATTAATGATAGACATTTCTTCCTTCTTCATTGGCTATATGTACTTTTTGCTTTTCTAAACTTATGTTTCTGTTCTTTGCCTAATTTTTATTGGGTTAAGTCCAGGCTTTGCCCATTATTAGAGAGACTCTACAGTCTTGGATTTTGGGGACTAGTTAGATTAGGAAAAAAAACTGGGAGGAGGAAGGGACAAACTATTTTTTTCTGTCAACATGAGATTTAAAAAAATTTTACTTTCAGTATCCTTCTATTAAAAAAAAAGAGGGGGACATTAAATTTATTGTCTATTATTGTTGTAAAAATATAGATAGCACATTTGCCAATTCAACATTTTTCACATGTACAATTCAGTGAGATCAATTACATCAATCATGTTGTGCAACCATCATCACCTATGTCCTCTGCTACATTTTCCATCCTCATTAACAAAAACTCAATGTTTTCTAAACAATAATCCTTCCCATTCCCTCTCCCTCTTACCAGGGGTGACGGCACGTTTTAACAAAAAAAAAATAGAAAAGACATATTTACAAAATAAAAGATGGTTCTTCCCCAAAAGAGTGGTTGGCAACAGTTGTTATTTTTCTTAGATTGGAGAAAATTTCATCCAAGTCCAGACTGACCAGTCCTTGAAGCAGGATGTGGGAACCACTTCACTGCAATTCTAAGTCTTAGTCTCATTTGAAAAACAAGGTGGAAGATTGATGACCTAAAAAAATTTCTCCTACCTCTGAATTTCAAGTCATTTCTTTCATATGTAGTCTAAACTTAATCATTTATTTGAGAGTTGTATATGTATCCATTTGTCCTTGGCTTTGGAATAGATTTTTTACTTGCTTTTTTTCTTTTTAAAGGTGTACTTACCTGATCTTACAGAAATTAGTTTCAAAGACTTAACTTTGTAATAATTAAAAAATGACAATTTCCAACCTTACTCCATTGCTCACGAACTCACATCTCCCCATTCCACAGGAAAAATACCTTTGGCGATAGACCCCTTAAGAAGATCTCAGCATCTGAATTTGGGATTCTTGGGTATCTACTTTTTGTGAAGAATATTTCTTTTTCTGAGTTGTTGCTTCTTTCTGCAGACCAAAGAAGAAAAATACGTGCTGACACAAAGTGGGGATTGCAACCAACGTCACAAAACAATTTGTGTATAAGTTTTTGAATGAGAAACTAATTTGTGCTGTAAACTTTCACCTAAAGCACAATAAAAATAAAAAAAAAAAAAAAAGAAGAAAAGTGAAAATTTGGCCCTTATTGAAGTAATGAGTGAAGAAACAAAGACGTCTTAGAGGGAGTTGACTGGCCGCTTAAGGATGGTCACCATGTTCCAGAATCTAGTCCCCAGCTTTGCAGAAACAAAATTTCAATTTTGTCAGTATACACAGATCATATCAAATATTTAGAAACCTATACGGGTTAATCAAACTACTACTGCTACTGTTACTGCTACTGCGGCCAATATTAACTGAATACTAACTACGTGCTAGTAGTTACGCAAGTTCAAGTTGAAGCTGAAGAAAATTAAAAGAAGTCCACGAGAGCCAAAGTACAACCCTGAGTATATCCCACCTGAATTCAGAGACCACCTCAAGAACAGATTTGACACATTGAACACTAATGACCAAAGACCAGATGAGTTGTGGAAGGAAATCATACATGAAGAAAGGTCATTTAAAAGACAAGAAAGAAAATACCAAAATGGATGTCAGAAGAGACTCTGAAACTTGCTAAAGCGAACAGAAGAAATGATGAAGTAAAAGAGCTGAACAGAAGATTTCAAAGGGCAGCTCGAGAAGACAAAGTAAAGTATTATAATGAAATGTACAAAGACCTGGAGTTAGAAAACCAGAAGGGAAGAACACACTCGTCATTTCTCAAGCTGAAACAACTTAAGAAAAAACTCAAGCCTCAAGTTGCAATAGTGAAGGACTCTATGGGCAAAATACTGAATGACACAGGAAGCATCAAAAGAAGAAGGAAGGAATACACAGGGTCACTGTACCAAAAACAATTGGTTGACGTTCAATCATTTCAGGAGATAGCATATGATCAAGAGCCGATGGTACTGAAGGAAGAAGTCCAAGCTGCACCGAAGACATTGGCAAAAAACAAGGCTCCAGGAATTGATGCAATACCAACTGAGATGTTTCAACAAACAGATGCAGCACTGGAAGTGCTCGATTGTCTATGTCAAAAAATTTGGAAGACAGCTACCTGGCCAACCAACTGGAAGAGATCCGTATTTATGCCTATTCCAAAGAAAGGTGATCCAACAGAATGTGGAAATTATTGAACAATATCATTAATATCACATACAAGTAAAATTTTGCTGAAGATCATTCAAAAGCAGTTGCAGCAGTACATCGACAGGGAACTTCCAGAAATTCAAGCCAGATTCAGAAGAGGACGTGGAACAAAGGACATCATTGCTGATGTCAGATGGATCCTGGCGGAAAGCAGAGAATACCTGAAAGGTGTTTACCTGTGTTTTATTCACTATGCAAAGGCATTTGACTGTGTGGATCATAACAAATTATGGATAACATTGTGAAGAATGGGAATTCCAGAACACTTAATTGTACTCATGAGGAACCTGTACGTAGATCAAGAGGCAGTCATTCATACAGAACAAGGGGATACTGCATGGTTTAAAGTCAGGAAAGGACTGCGTCAGGGTTGTATCCTTTCACCATACTTTTTCAATCTGTATGCTGAGCAAATAATCGGAGAAAATGGAATATATGAAGAAGAATGGGGCATCAGGATTGGAGGAAGACTCATTAACAACCTGTGTTATGCAGATGACACAACCTTGCTTGCTGAAAGTGAAGAGGACCTGAAGCACTTACCGATGAAGATTAAAGACTACAGCCTTCAGAATATATTACACCTGTCATAGATTGAATTGTGTCCCCCAAAAATAGTGTATCAATTTGGCTAGGCCATGATTCCCAGCATTGTATTATTGTCCACCACTTTGTCATCTGATGTGATTTTACTGTGCTGTAAATCCTGTCACTATGATGTTAATGAGATGGATTAGCAGCAGTTATGTGGATGAGATCTACACAATTAGATTGTGTCTTAAGCCAATCTCTTTTGAGATATAAAAGAGAGAACTGAGCAGAGAGACAGGGGGACCTCATACTAGCAAGCAGCACTGGGAGCAGAGGGTGTCCTTTGGACCCAGGTTCCCTGTGCCTGAGAAGCTCCTAGACCAGGGAAAGATTGATGACAAGGACCTTCCTCCAGAGCTGGCAGAGAAAAACGCTTCCTCTGGAGCTGATGCCCTAAATTTGGACTTCTAGCCTACTAGATTGTGAGAGAATAAACTTCTGTTTGTTGAAACCATCCATTTGTGGTATTTCTGTTACAGCAGCACTAGATAACCAAGACAACACCTCAACATAAGGAAAACAAAAATCCTCATAACTGGACCAAAAAGCAACATCATGATAAATGGAGAAAAGATCGAAGTTGTAAAAGATTTCATTTTACTTGGATTCACAATCAACTCCCATGGAAGTGGCAGTCAAGAAATCAAACGACGCATTGCCTTGGGCAAATCTGCTGCAAAATCTCTCTTTAAAGATCTCTTTAAAGTCACCTGACTCAAGCCATGGTATTTTCAATCACCTCATATGCATGGGATAGCTGGGCAGTGAATAAGCAAGACCAAAGAACTATGGTGTTGGTGAAGAATATTGAATTTACTATGGACTGCCAAAAGAACAAATAAAACTGTCTTGGAAGAAGTACAGCCAGAATGCTCTTTGGAAGCGAGGATGGCCAAGACTTTGTTTGATATACTTTGGACATGTTTTCAGGAGGGATCAGTTCCTGGAAAAGGACATAATGCTTGGTAAAGTAGAGGGTCAACGAAAAAGAGGTAGACCCTCAACAAGATGGACTGACACAGTGGTTCCAAAGATGGGCTCAAGCATAACAACAATCATGAGGATGGCGCAGGACCTGGCAGTGTTTCGTTCTGTTGTACATAGGGTGGCTGTGAGTCAGAACCGACTCTACAGCACCTAACAACAGCAACTATGTGCTAGACGCTGGGCGATGTTATTTACATGGTTTGCCTCATCTAATCCTAACTCTCTTTAATAGATACTGTCTTAGTTATCTAGTGCTGCTAGAACAGAAATACCATAAGTGGATGGCTTTAACAAAGAGAAATTTATTTCCTCACAGTAAAGTAGGCTAAAAGTCCAAATTCAGGGCATCAGCCAGGGGAAGGCTTTCTCTGTTGGCTCTGGAAGAAGGTCATTCTCATCAATATTCCCCTAGACTAGGAGTTTCTCCGAGTAGGAACCTCGGGTCCAAAGGACGTGCTCTACTCCCGGTACTGCTTTCTTGGTGGTATGTGGTCCCCAACTCTCTGCTTGCTTCCCTTTGCTTTTATCTCTTGTGAGGTAAAAGGTGAGGCAGGCAACACCCCAGGGAAACTCCCTTTATATTGGATCAGGGATGTGACCTAAGCAATGGTGTTACTTCCCACCCCAATCCTTTTCAACATAATTCAATCTTGCCTCACTAACCACAGGAAGAGATTAGGATTTACAACATATAGGAAAATTATATCAATCACAATATGGAGGACAACCACACAATACGGGGAATCATGGCCTAACCAAGGTGACACATACTTTTCGGGGGCACAATTCAATCCATGACAGACAACATTATTAAAACCCATTTTATAAATGAGGAAGTATTAGGATGATCAAAGGTTGTTGTTGTTAGGTGGCTTCAAGTTGGTTTCAATTCATAGTGACCCCATGTGACAGAGGAGAATTGCCCCACAGGGTTTCTAGGCTGTGATCTTTACTGGAGCAGATAAGTTTTCTCCTGGGAAGCCCCTGGGTGGGTCAGAACCACCAACATTTCAGTTAGCAGCCAAACACTTAGCCATTGCACCAATGGGCTCCTTTGGTCAAGGGCTGTTGTTGTGTGCTGTCGATTCAAATCTCATAGCACCCTATATGAGAGAGTAGAACTATCCCATTAGGTTTCCTAGGTAATAATCTTTATGGGAGCAGAGAGCTGGGAGCAGATCACCAGGTCTTTTCTCCCCTGAAGAGGGCTGATGGGTTAAAACTGCTCACGTTTGGTTACTCAGCCGAGCTCGTAACCATTGTGCCACCAGGACTCCTTCCTGGTCAAGGGTTGGCAGCTATTAAGTACAGCTAATTTCCTGGGTTACAAAAGTCTGACTTACATACAACCTGTAGTTATAACCAACCCCCGTAAACCCTATTATATTAAAAATTCAAGTAACATACAATGGTTCATAATACCAAACGGGCACTACTTTGAAACACGCATCAAAACATCATTATTATTACTGTATTATGTTAAAGATGTTTTAGTGTATCTGTGTTTCTTTAATGTTTTTAATGCATAGAAGGTACACTATATACTATATACTAAGACAAACATTTGACTAACTGATCTTAGATACCAACAGTACCTGTTCTGACTTACATACAAATTCGACTTAAAGACAGATTTAGAAACAGAACTCGTTCGTCATCCAAGGACTGCCTGTAGTGAAGCCAAGCTTCAAACCCAACTGGCACACTCCGCAAGCTTATGCTCTTAATTATTATACTGCATCACCTCTTCTAAGAAAAGGATTTATGAACTAAAATCATTTTATTAATTTACAGTAGAAGATATTCATTTCCAGGGCATAGAATATCAGCATCAAAAAATCAAACAAGGAGAAGTCAATGGTCCTGAGCATGTTTCTCAAAGCATGGCCCAGTGCTGGTCAGTAATGCAGGCTCTTTAGGTCAACCCAGTTCTAACAAATCAGCATCTTTGGAGATGGAACTTTGAAATCTGCACTGTTAATAGTATCCCAAGCAATCCTTATGCACACTGGTCTTAAGAGGTATTTCACCTATCACTTGGAAAAGCCCAAAGAATTAGTCCTATTTTACTGAAGTACGTCTCTTTAGTGATCGAAATATTCCTACCTACAAGATTCTCTTCTTAGCTAGGCTAGCTCCTTAGTTTAGACATCTAGCTGACCAAGTCCCTTTCATTAATATTCTTTCTTTAGAGAGGGAACAACACAATTGATTAGCTTAGGGTGTGCTGGTGCTACAGTTTCACACTTTTTAACACAATCAGTCATTCCTCATAAAGCCTTAGTCTTCCTAGATTGTTTTATACTCCTAAACCACCCATTTAGATAATATTTATAACCGTCAGACAGGCCTATAATTATTTCCTCCATCATATTTTTCCTGTTCCTAGTTTCACTCTTTGGAGTTGGTTAAAACACTGTGGTTTTTTAACGGTTCCTCTCCCCATCCTTCCTACTTCACTACTGACTGTAGTTCAGTACTTAGCTAATGAGAAGTTAATGTCTGTATAAAATATGAAGGAATTATAAATATCCCTTGAAGAACTTATCCTTCCCAGAATTTCCTAACAGCATTCTAGAGTGAATAAGAGATCAGGAAATGTTGAAAACGAAAAGAAAGCTATAGTTGAACACAGCTGTTTGGCTTGACCTAGAAAACACACATACACAGTACATACGTAAACATATTAAAAGACAAATATTTGTTACTACAGACTATATTAAAAATAAATACATGTGCAAAAGGTTTAAATTTGCTCTTCTTGTTTTATAGTTTTCACATTCAAGCTAAAACAGTGACAATGACTTAAAAGTGAAACTAAAATGCACAGGGAAGTAAGATTAAAAAGTGAAATTTTTATTTAAATGCTTCTCTGGTAATACAGAATCTAGGCAATGCAGATAAATTTTGAAAACTGCTGTAAAATGATTAAGAATTACCTCTCTTCTTAAACTAATAATATTGTCAATATATAACAGTAACATTTTAAGAATTACTCAATAGGTCATAAAGGAAATATGAGAATATTTGTTGAATTGAATTAGTTTATACATTCAAACTGAATCTGGAAATGTGATCTTAATTCAACAGAGAATCTCAGAGGCAGAAATTTATGTGAGTGTAGAACAATAAAATCTCCCTGATTTGGATCGACATTTAGTGAAAAGCCTTGGTTACACGTTCTTAGAGAGTGTTCAGTGTAACAGTGTACAGAAATATTGTACAGAACTATTTTTTTCATGGTAACTAGGTTAGCAAAGTCTGGCCTAGAATAAATAGCACGCAATTAGCTCACCAAAGTACCTGCCTCCAAGAGAAATATATATGCTGGTCAGGGTTTATCCCTTTTTCTTTAATGTGTGTGAAAGTAGTTTGTTATAAATTGGAAAGCAGTTTTTTATAATTGTTTATCATTTGCTTAGAGATCCTTCAGTACAATAATAGACTTTGTATTCAGAGCCAAAAAATATTTATTGAGACCCATTAGGAGCTACTATCTTCCAATAAGTTATCTTATGCTTAATCCAACAGAAATTTTCATAAATTCTTAATAAAAGAAAGTCAAAATAATGAAGCTTTATAAAGTTGATATTCTATCTTCCAGGAAGTATAAAGATCTTATTAACACAGTTTAATCCTTTTGAGAAGAACCCTGCTAAGTAGACGAAAACAAAATCAATTAGACTAAGGGAGAATACAACACGCTCTATATAACTTCTATTCTCCTGCTAGAGATTTTCTTGACTGCTGTTTCTTCTTTTGATAGTTTTGATATGCATATAAATTTGTAACATTACCTGGAGAGTATCCATCCTTTATTCACCTAAGCCTCCTTTCTTCTGTACTCTGTACCCCACATCTATACACACCAAGTGCAGTTACAGCAGGTGAAAAAGATAAAAACACAAATACCTAAGGATTTCCTCTTTTATGTGGAACATTTCTAACCTTTGAGTATTCCAAGTATTTATGGTGTAATGTTCAACTGTGCTCCGTGGCTGGTAAAAAGAACTTGAATCTGTATTTGTAGAGTTGGTGTCTGGAAAATACATTATATAAAATCAAAACCGGATTTTAAGCAATGCTAATGTAAATAAAAGTTATTTGTTTACTTGATATATATTGAGTGGCAAGGCTGCTATCTCCACTGCATGGATTCAAAGATGACTAAGAAAGTCACAGTCCTCAAGGATGTCACGATTCATATATTAGTGGAAGAGATAAGTTACTATAATAAAAAAACAAAAAATCTTATTGCCATCAAGTGGATTCTGACTCATAGTCACCCTATAGACCTGGGTAGAACTGCCCCAAAGGGTTCCCAGGAGCAGCTGGTGGATTCGAACTGCCGACCTTTTGGTTAGCAGCTGAGCTCTTAACCATTGGGCCACCAGGGCTCCGCGTGGTACTATAATACAAAGCAGGAAGCACTAGAAGGGAGGCACAAACAGATTACTTTGTGCTTAAAATGCAAATAATTTCAAAATTACCACTGGTAAAAATGCTTTAAGGATTTAGGGTTTTGTCACAATTTCAATATAGTCATAAAAAAAAACTCTATTCCTTTGTCCCTCAGACTCCAAAAACTCGGACCCTGTTGTTGACAAATTGGTGACTGGCTCCGAAGGGGCTGGAGGGTCAATGCAAGGCAGGCAGTATTACACCAGACTCCAGCGGTATAATCCCTTCTGAGGTCGACAGTGCGGGAGACCACTACGGAGAATGGGGAGGTTCCTGGAGTTCTCACCCTGGCCAAACTCCCGATTACCTCTGATGAGCCCCGAGGGTCACTGAGTAGCTAACCAGGCCAGATCCCGCAGTAGAAAACGGCGACGGCCGCAACATCAGCGATTAAATTTTACAGACTTTCATTACGACGGCCTAATAGTGCACCTGTAGTAAAATTCCCAGAGCTGAGAGTTCTTAGATTGGGGAGAAAGGAAGGGGAAGGGGTAAAGGAAAGAAAATAGGAAAGATACCGGAAAAGGGGGAGGGGAAGGGGCGGGACACCACCAGGAGGCCTAGAGTTTACAAGACAGATGGTGGCGTTCCCATGGAAACGTATCCCTCCGCCTTGATTAGTTTTTTAGCCTTTTCAGTTTCCTCCGCGCCGATTCTCCGCTGTTTCCGCTCAGCGCCTTTGTGCCGCGCAGAACGTCGAGATGACGCATGCGCAAAGCCAAGCCGCCGCATATATAAGTCCGAACTCGGGCTCTTCCTCGTAGCGCCGCTTAGGACAGTTGATCGGCGAGGTTGTGTGGTAGTTTTTGTACTACTCGAGACCTGGGCACTGCGAGCTGAAAGAGCTAAGCACGCGGGCCAGTCGTCATGTCGCGTTACGGGCGGTACGGAGGAGGTAAGATACTGGGGCCTGGTGAGGGTCAGTGCTGTGGGTGCACTGAGGATTGTGAGGCCGTAGGGTTAGTGCGGCAGTTGGGAGACGGTTATTCCGCGTGCGTAATGGCGGCTTCGGCGCACGCCATACGAAGCCGGAGGCAGCAAGGCGGGGGGGGGGGGTGGCTATTGAAGGAGGACGGAGGTGGGCGGGTGTATGCCCCTGGTTCCTTTTTAATTCCTGGACATTTTTGTAGCCCGAGGCCGGGCCCTTGATCAGAATTTTCCCGTTGCCCTTTTTGGGGCCGCCGGCTCCCTTCCCCCGCCCTCGGCGGCGGCTGCCATTTTGCGCACATTGACGACCATGGTGGCGCATTTTCTTAGCGCTTTCCCGCCACTTTAGCGGGCACGTTTGGTCGCAGTCGTACAAACAAGGTCGAATTTTAGACGGAACAAAATAGTGGCAACTGCGAGGTGTACATTCTCGTCAAACAACCGTCCGAGTTGCTGAGTAGGAGTAGAGAAATAATCATTATGTCTGGCGCCTGGTTTCTCTTTCTCTTTTAGTTCTTTCGAGCGCAGTTTATGGCTCTGGGGCGGGGAGCTGGAGCCTTGGGCAAGCCTGCGCTTGGGGCGGTTGCCGCGGAGGACCAGAGCCGGCGCA